AAGCAAAAAAAAAAAAAAAACAGAAAGCAGCATAAAGGGTGTTCAAAGGATTGAACGCCAACCTAGACCCCACAGATATAATGAACGGCCGCAATGGGATGAATGACAAATTGGCGTTTAAACGGGGCTAAATAAAAAGTGTCATAATAAATATATAATAATATATATATTTTTAAAAAGGTATTTAAATTTTTAAACTACTTTTTCTCATTATTTTTAGATTTTAAGAAAAAAATTAACAAGCACCCGTGTAATACACGGGTGTTGTACTAGTTTAATAAATTAAGGATTGGTCTTTTCTTATATTTAAAAATATATTACAAACATAATGGTTTATATTATTTAGCAATTAAAATGTTTTAGTCGAGGATCCTTTAATTAGTCAGTATCTCATCATACACTTGGGCGTGCTTGGATACAAAAGTTTCCGCTTAAAATGATTTATTTATTTTTTTTGTTAACCATGGTTAATTTGAGAAAAATGTGGTATATATTGTTAGTTGTTATTAGTAGAATTTTGAGTTTATATTAAAATAATATTTAAAAAAAATAATTAAAGTTGATTTGATATAAAAGTAAGAGAAAAATGATATGAAATGATGGTTAGTTAATATTATGTAGTGGATGAATAGTGATTACATTGTAAGAATGACTAATTGATATTATTTAATTATTGATAATAATGAGAATAATAAAATTGAATTAAAATTGAGTTAAATTTTGAGTTGAATTAAGTATGAAATAAAAGAATTTATATCCAAGTACGCCCTTTAAGGTTTCAAATGGTTGTTTCAATCTTTTATTGATTTTTGTAACATGAATTTTTATACCAATTTTAAACAAAAGTTATTATCATATGTTATTTTCCGATAAAGAAGTGTTATTCATATAAATTTTTATTTTATGAGATATTGTACATACACATTCTTATTTTTTTTTTTTTCGATTTTTTAACGTAATTTCATTAAGGTTGATAAATTATTTATCTGAGGTTTATTTGCTTTATTGTCCTGATTGAGAGCGAAGTGAGTAGCGACGTGTTACATATTTCAACTTACCATGTGATAGAGTCTGTTACCAAGGAGAGAAAAAACATACCATTTTGAATTTAAGTGTTTTATTATCTAGTATTTACCTAATTAAATTGTTTTAGTGATGTTTATGTGAAAATAAATTTGTAAATATATATATACTAGTACTAATACCCATGTACAACATGAGTGTTGAGTAAATGTATATATGTGTAAAGTTATTTATGTCTAATACCAAACCTAACTCTAAAGCAAAAAATAATAATAAAACAACATCACGAAGCATAGATTTTTGTCATGTCAGTATCCGAAACATGAGAATCCGCCACATAGGCTCAACACGTTCTGAATTAATATATAGGGAGGGAATTAATATATAGGGAGGGAGGAGGGATTTGCAAATTGCAATTAATTAGCAACACTCAAGATAGAGATGCAATTTATGTAAATGGACCAAATAGAGTCGAGAAAACTTAGATTGGGCTTGGTATATTTGTCGAAGCCCACATTTCATGGGAGCTAGTTTTAACGAAATGTAAATCACTGTAGCCCAAAATAAATCTATCAAAATTCGGCCTACAGCTTGAAACGAGCAAACAGGCGATTTCACTTTTTATCACTTTCTTCGCCGTCTCTCTAAAGAAGAATAATCTTCGTACAAAAAAAAATCAGAAATTGAACCTGCAAAAATCTGAAACCATCACAGGTACAAATTACTGTGCTATATTTCTGTGGATAAGAGATTAGATATATTTTTTTCTCATATATCCTTGAAATGTGCCTCGTCCCTGAATTTATATCAGAACATCACTGAAAGCAGACGAGAACGCAAGTGTAAATAATGGCGGCTGCTATATCCTCGGCAGCCGCAGCCGCAGCCGCAGCCGCAGCTACGCTCCGCCTCCTGAAACCGTTGCGCGCCGCCGCTCCTCTTGTTTTTCCTCTATTCAGCAACCTCAGACTCAGCCACCACCATTCCGCCGATTCATTGCTTCTCTTGGCCATATCGCCCCACCAACGCAGTTGCAGCTCCGTAGTAGTCTCTGCCACCACTTCCTCCGGAGAGGCTACGAAGCCTCAGGCCGTCGTGCTGGGAAACGGGGCGAAAATCCGGGAGTTCCGTAAGAAATTCAAGATTGTTGACATTAAAAGCGGGGCCGATGAGGGGTTGAATCGATTGGGGGAGACTCTTGTGGTTAGAGGATGGGTTCGAACGCTAAGAGCTCAGAGCAGTGTCGCGTTTATTGAGGTGCGGCTTCGCATTGATTTCTATATCATGAAAACAATTTTCTGAGTTTGTGTTGGAATAGTTTTTATTGGAGAATGAATGGAGCTTTTTCTGGTGTTGGTGAGTAGGTTAATGATGGCTCGTGCCTTTCGAATATGCAATGCGTGTTGAGTCCTGATGCCGAAGGTTATGATCAGGTACCAGTACATGCTGCACAAGTCTGTTAATACTCATATAAATTTGGTTAGTAATCATCAGATAATATAGCTAGTTATTCCATGGCACTATATGATTTAACTTCCATGAATGACATTTTCCAACTTTTTTGAAATCTTTATTTATGTATCCGGTTACCCTTAGTAGACACGCATTTGAGTTCTATTTCTCGAACCCCAGTGGATCTTGAATTCCGTGCTCGTTTCACAAGTATTTGGATGTAAGAAGTAGAGTACAGGACATTTTTCACTTGTTTCTTTCCTCATAAATTTAACTAATTTTGATTTATTAGGACTAATTATGGAAAATTTCGTATATGTAATATTTTGTCTATACACATCTTCAATTCCATTCTGAAATTCTAAGATACTTTTATATAGACCATAAGTTGTGATCTGGTTTGTGTAGTTACTTTTAAATGATGTGTGGTAGTGAAATATGATCTCCACATTAGCAAAACAAAGTCTTAACATGATATTCTCAGTAATAGACCAGCATTTGACAAATAAATTTTCGAACTTCGTAGGATGTATAGCATGATTGCACAACTTTTTCCTTCAGACCTTAACACAAAATGTTACTTCCAAGTCTGTAAACTACAGAGATGCTGGATAGACTCTCCCTTTCAATTTTGTTGGCGTCACTTTGACCTACCACTACTACATTTAATTTGATGTTACTATCTTCAAGCAACATCATATTAGTGGAACTCCACCATTTCCATATTATCATATTCTTAAATGGGACGACTACTGTCAATTTCAGCATTATTGCACTGGTACTAACCACTTATATGTCGTTCTGCGAAATTATGATATTTGAACTCAATATTTTTACGGATCTCTATTGTCATATAAATGGATCATGAAATTGATCCATGAAAAATAGCTATCAAACAGTTTCATCTGTGGTGAAAAAGCTGTCTAAATTTAAACTGTCTAAATTTTCTCTCTGGATTCAATTGCCCAAGAAATATTCTCATATTCACTAGAAATCCAACCAACTTCTGTAATTCTAGTTGGAAATATTACCAAACAACAAAGGTCCATCTGCCTTAAATTATAAGTCTCTCAATTGGCACAATTTGACATTTTAATGGTGATGAATAGCTGCCTAGCTGGTGTGAGAAACTTATACTTTAGTGCCATTGTAAAGGATATGACCATACTGCTGGTTATTAGATGTATCCTTCGCTGCTATGTGGCTTTTACATTTGACATGTGTGCATGCCCATGTCTTTAACTTATATTTTCAACTAGTAATCATTAATTCCACTTTCTTTTTTGGGATTTGATCATTGATCATTCTATTGCTATTGTTTCTCAATAGGTAGAGAGTGGTTTGATTTCAACTGGTGCTTCAGTATGGATACAAGGTACTATAGTGGCCAGTCAAGGGTCAAAGCAAAAAGTAGAATTGAAGGTTGACAAACTTGTAGTGGTACACACCTCTCCTCAAATCAAACTTTCTTTTTGATTATTCTTATGCTGAATTCTTCAATCTCCTGATTGCTGGATTTTGATGATAGTGCTGCCAGAAATCTTTTGTGGTGGTTTGTTAATGAAATTATGGGAAGTCCAATGATGTTGGTGCAGCAAATGATTGGACCAATTTGTATGATTAGGAACCACTGCAGCAAAACTTAATGAATTGTGCTTCAGTGTTTAAGAAGTTGAACATGTCTACACGTGCAGTAAAACGGTACATTTGGCTGTCATGCAAGATTTGACAGAATAATTCATATATATATATATAAATTTTCTGTTGGTGCTGCTTATGACCGTAAGAATCCCAATCAGTGATGTTACATTTATGCCAAACGTTTTACGTAGTTGATCAGTCAAAAGTGATTCTTTAAATGATATTTCATCAGCATAACATAACATCTGAGTTACTATTTACCTCATTCTGGAAATTTGCGTACAACAAGTAATAGGAAAACAAGCTAAAAATTAAATATTAGTAAATATTTTCTGATCAGTTTCTCTTAGCTTTTTCTGATGATATTCTTTGGTGGTTAGATATGCGCAAAGAATAAGGTAAACTCCATCGTTTTCCCTAACAAATGCGTACCACAAAATTTAACATAAAGAGTACTATCTGGTTTGTTTGAGGTATTTTTTTCTAGCTTAGCTTTGTTGTATATGGTTATGGATAGTGTTTTAACCCATTAGCATCTGTAAAGATCATATAAATAGTTTGTATTATAATATGATTTTACTTTTTTCTCTTTATTTTTCCTTTAGGTTGGCAAGAGTGACCCCTCTTTCCCTATACAGAAAAAACGGGTCACCCGAGAGTTTTTAAGAACTAAGGCTCATCTTCGTCCACGAACAAATACTTTTGGTGCGGTAAGACTTATTTTTTCTGCAAAGAGCATGAACGGAAAAAATAAAAAAATCTCAATGTAGGATGGAGAACTTTTTATGCTGATCTACTTACTCTATTGGCTCATGACTTAACAAAGTGTCAATTTGACTGGGGAAGGATAACCTGACCTTGTTAATGGCCTTTCAATGAGTATCCATTACGAATTTCAATAATGGTGATGTTGTGAATTTGTGTTACTTAATATCATTGTACATGAGGTTAGTTTGGTTGCGACTCAACCAGTCTTTATATAATCTTTGTGACTATATTACTTAATTTCTGCTGTTAGTACTTGAAGTATGTAAACATTAGTTTAGTATAAGCTATTTCCCCGCTAATTGCTCTTTTCTCTGTAGCGTTTTTATTTTAAACCTAGTTGTGAAGAATACCAGGTATACTCAAACCTTGTCATATATAAGATATCTAGGAAATAAAGTGGAGAGAGCCTCTGTACACTTCTGTATGCTCCTAATTTTCACTATCTTGAAAGGGATAAAAAATACTAAACTGACTCTAGATATATGGTTACAAACCAGTAACGGATAGTCCGTTTTTCTATGTTAAATATACAGATCCTGCTTGCAACAGATTCTACTATTAAATGAATGTCCTCCCTCAAGGCTAATAAGTATGGTTTCTGCTGCAAATGAATTG